TTGTTATTGCAACAAATCCAGCTGGTCAAGATTCAACAATATGTTCAGTAGGTGTTGTACCGGATACAACAGCTGTTGATGATCGACCTTTTGTACCACAAGATAAGTTCCGTAATTTGGAAGCTCCTGAAGGAAAGGGACCACGACGATTAGAAATAGTACCTGGTGTTGATGTTCAACCATTTGTTCCACCAGAGAAATTTCATAAATTAGATCATGTTCCACCATCTGAAAGACCAGACGTAGAGTTAGTAGAACCAAAACGACCACCACGTGTTATTGTACCATTAAGTAATTATGAATTGGAAGAACTTATGCCAGTGATACTGACAACTACAATTGATGCTGGTGTTCCGATGGCTACAGTAAGCATTGTTGTTTATTGTTTCGTGCACGATTATCAATTCAATTTAGTTCAGTTTTACAAAAGAAAGGATATAGAAAAATCGGAGAAAAATTTCGCAATGGCGGAATGTCATCGGATAAGAGAGGGCCGGACGTGGATGCCGGATTCGTTTTAACCACACCCACAGTCCACTCATCTAAATCGTAACTTTCAAAACATCAAAACTATCTTATTAGTAGTAAATAAGTAACAGTTGATGAAACCTGGCCTTTTAAAGTAAAGATCATCGTCTATCTAACAAGAAAAAGAATCAATTTCCTATCACTTTCTGTACGATTACAGCTGAGTCTGACCTTTATCGAAGAACTTTTTCAGCAACCCATTTAATTAATGAAGATAGATAAAAAAGACAATTTGCTCAATATAACGTAAGAATAGAATTTCAAAAAAAACCTGACCGAAATTAAAATAACATAATTTTAAATAAGATATTCGAATGAATGAGAGATGGGGAATATATCCAAAAACATCCTTTTAATGATTCCATATGAGCAGTGTCATATATTCGATTCTCTCACTGACGCATTCGATGTATCGATTATTTAGAATAATGTATATAAGAAAACAGAGACTACAAAAAAATAAAATAAAACATATGCCGAAAGAACACGATAGGTTCTATATGAATCAGCATGTATTAGTCAGAACGAAAGCGCATATAACTTTTCTTATGTGCATACAGCATTTCCCAGATTTTTACTACTGGATAATACAGACATAATCCTCAGCTGCAAAAACATGAAATTCCATTTTCACAACTTTTCATTGACTTTAGTACTTACATAATTCTTTTTGCCTCCAGTTTCCTTTTGTTACATGTCAATAAAAAAACTAAATCTCTATTTTAAGTTTACTTGGTATAAAAATGGTCAGCCACTTCTTGAAGGCAATCGATTTACTACAAAATATGACATTCTTCCAAAAGTATTAACATTACAAATTCTTGCTGCTCGTCCTGATGATCAAGGAACTTATACAGTTCGTGCAACAAATCCGGTCGGTAGTGATGAAACAACATGTAAATTAACAATTCGACCTGTGGCATCAATTGATACACGACCATTTGTACAACCAGAACATTTTGCACAATTAGAAGTTAAAGCTCCACCTCCAACGAAAGAAGACATGGAAAAGATGGAACCACCAAAAGTTATTGTACCTTTGAAACCTATGCAAGTTAAGGAAGGATCACCTGTTCTTCTCCAAGCAACTATTACTGGAAAACCAAGACCTAATGTAAGACTTTATTACATCAAAAAAAAAAAGAAAGTCTTTATTTCTTGTGTTTAATATAGTTTGTTTGGTTGAAAGATAATAAACCATTAACAGCATCAAATCGTCTTCGAACTCGATATGATATTGGTACAAAACAAGTTTTATTACAAATTAATGATATTCGTCCACAAGATGTCGGTGAATATGTTGTTATTGCAACAAATCCAGCTGGTCAAGATTCAACAGTAGGTTCATTAAGTGTTGTACCAGATAAACCAGGTGTTGACGATCGACCTTTTGTACCACAAGATAAATTCCGTAATTTGGAAGCTCCTGAAGGAAAAGGACCACGACGATTAGAAATAGTACCTGGTGTTGATGTTCAACCATTTGTTCCACCAGAGAAATTTCATAAATTAGATCATGTTCCACCATCGGAAAGACCAGACGTAGAGTTAGCAGAACCAAAACGACCACCACGTGTTATTGTATCATTAAGTAATTATGAATTGGAAGAACTTATGCCAGTGATACTGACAACCACAATTGATGCTGGTGTCCCAATGGCCACAGTAAGAATTGTTTTTTATTGTTTCGTACACGATTATCAATTAGATTTAGTTCAACTTTATTAAAAGAAGGATATAGAAATAAGTGATTGTTTATTTTAAAGAGTTGAAGTGATTTCAATTTTATTTTTCTTTCCGGACATTTCGTGATATCTGATTTTCAGTGAACATCGACATCTTTATTCATAGACTCAAAGAACATGTCTGTAACTGATGTAGGCAGAGATTACTGTTTGTGTTTTGACTATTCGAGATAGAGCTAACATCACGATCATTCAATTATTAACTTATTACATTGTGTATATATTTCCACACCTTTCAATCAATGAGATAGTCAAGTTCTCGGAAATTTCTCTGCATAATACTAATCAATTTTTATTACTTATAATATGCCTCATAAAAACGAATGATAAGTATTAATCATTTCAAAAACAAAACTCATACATGATAAACATGAAACGAAAAATTGAAATATATTTTATACATATGAATGACACAGACTAACGATATATGATGCGTATAAGAAAACCGAGAGACCACAAGAGAATAAAGGAGAACATATGCTGAAGAACATCATAGGTTGCGTTCTGATACGGATAAGTTGTAACGTTCAAATTAATGTTTATAACTTGCGTGAACACGGAAAAAAATACCGCTGAATTGAGTACTGGATATTGTAGACGTAATCTTCAGTTGCAAAATCATGAAATTTCATTTTCACAACTTTGCATTGGCTTTAGTATTCATATAAATTGTTTTTTCTTCAAGTTTCCTTTTGTTACATGCCAATAAAAAAACTAAATCTCTATTTTAAGTTCACATGGTATAAAAATAATCAACCACTTCTTGAAGGCAATCGATTTACTACAAAATATGATATTCTTCCAAAAGTATTAACATTACAAATTCTTGCTGCTCGTCCTGATGATCAAGGAACTTATACAGTTCGTGCA